AAACAAACATGACTTAGCTATTTAATCATTTCCTTGTATGTGAATGCCTCCATCCATCAAATATTCATGATTATTATTCAATACATTTGATATCATCATTGACATAACAAACAATTGCATCACCCAGGTTGTAACAATACCAAGGACATGCATAAACAAAACTTTAATAATGCGTGTCTACCCAGATCTCTGGTGTTCGCAAGAATAAATAAATAGGGAAGATTTTCCTTCCCAATGAATAATAAATCTGATGCTGATTGCAGGTGTCAGATTTAATAAAAATTTCCTATCACAAACATGTAGTTGGGTGCTTTCACACGCCTCATAACTGTGGATTTTTTCCACAGGTGAAGGTCCCCAATGTTGGAAGGCTTTGGACAAAGCTTTCCTTTATCTTCCTCTCAGACCAGGCTGGCTGTTTCTGTATGAGCATTGTTTGCTGATGAGAGTTGACATTTGTGTGATGATTGCTGTGTGTTATCACCCTCTAGAATAAGTTGGGTGTCTGCAACTGGTTTGAAAATTCTGCAACTTGGGAGGTTGTAACCTGGATTGCCGGCTTGGATTTTCCCTGAATTCAGGCACACCAACACACCAACAACCCTACCCCCATTTAAATAACAAGTTCAGTTGGTCAAATAAAAATTAAAGAGAAACAGAAAATTTGGGAATGATTAATTTATACAAAACATACCAAAATCTGAACCATTTAATGACCTTTTTCTTGTTGGCCATATTGTTAACAAAGATGTATATAATCATGCGATAGTTTAACCTACAGGATAGAGGACTGATTGGGCAAAAACCCAATCCAGTCCCCTACCCAAAATCATTAAAATTGGTTAGCATCAGAGAAACAGAGCATTTAGGAAAGTGATTATACAAAACAAACACTATTTTACAACTTTCCTCTTAATATCAGAGTCCAAATGCAATTTCAGGGCCACAAACCCTGCTCTGAATTGTAACCTCCTGTGCTTGAAACAAGTTGCAGATTCTCTCCAGAGTTGCGACTTGGTCACAGTGCCATCCTTCCCTAGAGGTGGGATCATTGCAGACAACTTTTCGGCCATCTCTGGTCTGGGAAGATTAGTGAAAGCATCATTGATGATTGATGCAGTCTTGGTAAACTCCAGGCCACGCCTCCCCTCCAGGGATTCTGTTGCATCATCATATCATCGGGGGATCAAGTCAGATTAGCCTTATGTACACGAGGAAGATGTGAGAATAACTGTAAAGTGTTCAAGGTAGCATGCGTGCTTCAACATTTGCCAATTTCCAATAATCAAACATTGCATACTCAAAATGTCTCTTTTTCAACAGTGTGCTGCCTTGACATCTAATTATATAACAATATAATAGTAGTATTATTAATGATTACAAAAGTAAAATATTATCAATGAAAATCTTGTAACTACCCAGCAATGATCTGCTCCGCGTTTTGATTTCCAATTAAAATATTTATAAACCAAAAAAGACAATACAAGTAAAAAATAGTACCTCTGGTTAGTTATTAACACGTTACTTTAGGAGACCCAAACCAAACCAAACAACAACACTCACGTTTTGTCACCTTGGACTCTGTCAAAAAATAATTGTTTTTCCAAAAAAAAGAAAAAAATCAATTCGCGTCTGTCCTACCAAAAAAAAAAACCAATAGGATAAATAATTAATGTGTACACGTCGATCAAAATAAACTTCTTTTCATAATAATAATGCCCAAAGAAAATAAACGAAGAAAAAATCAAAATGTCAAAGGACAAGCAAATGCGTAAGTGTTTTAAGGATTGTGGTGGTGGTGGTTATCGCCCGCCACTCATCGTCACTCTAGTTTTTCTCTTAACATCAATTGATCCTTTTAAAAAAAAATTTTCCTTTGATAAAAACAAATTATAGTCCGCAAGATGGATGTGAAAAATCAGGAGGCGATTACCGAGAGGATACTGTTGGGTAAATATTTTTATTTTTATCTTAAGTCAACAACAAAATTTTTACAAAGTAATGAATATCATTTCCGGAAAAAAAAAGAGAATTGAGAAGAAAAGGTGTGGCTTTAAGCACAATAGAATTGTCATCATCGTCAACAAATTCCACTGTCATTGATGCTGATACTAATAAAGTAAGTTAAATTCTTTTTGTGACTTAGAGGATAAATTGGTTAAAAGTCAAATAATAATTATAAGAATCATTAAAAAAATTTTATTATTTAAATGACATAGGAAAATCTTGATGAAGCTGAAGAAGATAAATTAGAAGATGAAAAAAAAGTTTATAATCAACAAGTTGATATCGATCTTTCAGATATTATGAAGCAGTTAGAGAATGAACCTCTATATGTGGTATATATAAAAAAATTAAATTAAATATCTGTATTTCCATATTTTAATGTTGTTATTATTTATATATTTCAGTGGAAGGTCAATGATATAAATGTCACAGAAAGATTTCGTGATTACCAACGTTCAGTGATTGAAAGGACAAAAGTTAATAAGTTGACCTGGCATGACACTTATGAAATATTGTAAGAAAATGGTGATCTCAACTACAATATTGAATTTTCACTCAAACTATCTTTTGTATCATATTTCAGAGCAATAGCATCCATTATTGTACTTTCTAGTCCATGTCCATATCCAAATTTCACTGCACAAGAATGGAATGAAATAACTAAAACCAACCCGTATAAAATTCACCATCCTGTAATACCACCATCAGTTTCTAGATCTCTTCAAGAAGCTGCAATTAAGATTGTAATGGGTGAAGATTATTATATGCATCCTGATAATTCGGAGATAAATAAACTTGCTGCACGCACATTTAATGAGTTGTAAGTTGAATTTTTGATTAGTATTTGTAAAAAATGAATGTTATTTAATGCCTTTAACACATTTTAGATCTAGCATTCCTCCTATTGATTATAAAATGTCAGAAGAATTACATTGTTGCAAGTTATTATATCCTTTTACAAATCCAGTATTTTTTGGACCACATAAAGAGTATGAGGTTCAACTAAATCGCACTGTTAGTAAAACAAAACAAAGACCTGATTTCGCCTGCATCATTAATAAAATTCCACTTTTGAACTCCGAAATTAAACCATGTGGATATAAACCACTACAAAAAAAAAAAGGATATTGTAAAGGCTCAATTAAGAGGTAAAAAGACAATAAATCAACTATTAAACTTGAAAGGTGGTCCTGCTAAAACAGCCATACTTACAAATATGGGTATGTATATAATAAACTGTCTGCCATTACATTATTATTCTGATGCTAATTTATTTTTAAAATATTATGTCCAGGTGATACAGTATCATCTTTTATCATGGATCTACAGGTTGATAGGATTTATCATTCTTGGCCTTTCTGTACAACAAAATTAGTAATTGATAAATCTTCAATGCCATTGATAGAATCGACATTTTGCCACTTTGTGGCATTAGAGGTATACATAATTATTTTAATCTGCATTTGGATAATATTCAAAATTTATGACAAATTGTTTATTCACAGGGACAGATAAACATATTAGCAAAAGATTTTAAAACTCGCAGTAATGTGTTCACTCCACCATTACAAATGTCATTCATGAGCATTATCCCAGATTCACCACAAATCAAAAGGTTACTTAAATAATTTATATAATTTAATGATATTTAATGGTAACCTTTCCTTAGTATATATACACATATATTATCACTATCATATGTGATGAAAGTAGTAGTATTGGTATATCTTTGTTTACAAAGCTTAATATTGTAAAAAAAAATTTTAATTTTCAAATAATTCAAATGCTTTTTATTCTAATAAAATGATTTCACATTAAAATTTTAAATGTTCACTTTGTCTGGTTTTGTTGCAGCATACCCCAATTATTGAATCAATGGAATCTTTTAATATTTCTGATAACTTGATTTTATCAAAAAATCGTTCCTTTCTTGTCACAGCAGGATAAGGTTGCTTGCCAAAACTCATCCAGAAATCAATCAGCAGGGTTTCGGCAGGTTACACATTAATTGTTTATTAGAGTTTTGGCAGAGTTTCGCATTTTGAGGTTTCACCATTTCGGCATAGTTTCAACAGGATTTTTGATAAGATTTAATATAGTTTTGCAATGGTTTCAGCAATTACTAAGGAGGTTTCGTCCACAACCTTAGTTAAAGTAAATGGTTTGGTTGGATCTGGAAGTGCTAAGATGGGTGCAGATGTTAACAATCTCTTAAGTTCATCAAAAGCTACTTGTTGTGCATTATCCCATTTGTATGGTTGGTCCTTATGTAACAACAAAGTCAATGGTGTAGCAATGGTAGAAAATCCTTTAACATATTTTCAATAGTAACTAGCAAGTCCTAGAAAAGAACTTAGCTCTTATATGTTAGTAGGTATAGGCTATTCCTTGAATGCTGCAATTTTTTGTGAATCAACAGATATTCCTTCAGATGAAATATAATGTCCCAAGTACTCAACTTTTTGTTTTAAGATTTCATATTTACTAAGCTTGGCATATAAATGATGCTTTCTGAGAGTTTGTAAAACTTGTTGCAAGTGTTGTAGATGTTTCCTTGTTTTGCTATAAATTAAAATATCATCCAAATATACTACAAATTGATCTAAAAATTCTCGAAAAATATCATTCATCAAAGTCATGAATGTTGCTGGAGCATTAGTCAGACCAAAGGGAAGTACAAGGAATTCATAATGACCATATCTAGTTCAAAAAGCAGTTTTATGAACATCCTCAGGTTTGATTCGTATTTGGTGGTAACCTGAATATAAATCTATTTTAGTAAAATATTGTGCACCTACTAATCTATCCATTAATTCATCTATTCTTGGAAGAGGATAACGATTCTTTATTGTGATCTTGTTAAGAGCTCTGTAATCTACACAAAGTCTAAGTGTTCCATCCTTTTTATGAACAAAAAGGACTGGTGCTCCAAAAGTTGACACACTTGGTTGAATATATCCTTTTTTTGATAAGTCGACCAATTGCTTTTTTAATTCATCTAATTCTGTATAAGACATCTTGTAGATTGGGTGGATTAGAGGTTCTGTTCCTGGAACAAGATCTATAGTGTGATCTATGGCATGTTTTGGTGGTAATTTCTATGGAAGTGTTGTAGGAAAAACATCAGCAAACTCTTTCAAAATCTTGTTTACCTCTGGTATAATATCCTTCTTTACTTCTAATTCTTCTGTATTATTAACATAAACAGCAAAAATTTCTTCAGAATTGGGAATCTTTGAAAATTGTTGTCTAGAGATATAAACAGAATTACAACTTGTTCCACCAGAAGTTTTTGTGACCTTAATTATAATTTTCTTGGTACCATAAATGAAAGTCAAGGTATTTGTTTGCCAATCTATAGTTGGATTTGCATGATATAACCAAGGCTTTCCTAAGATAATATCATATCTCTGTATCTTCATCA